GTGGGCAATTCTCAAAAAAGTTTGTAAACATTTAGACTTCACCAGTGTTGGGTAGTAACTAGTTACATGTAAGAATAACAAAATAAATGTAACTGTAATTTGTTACAGTTACTGAGAAAAAATGTGTAATTAAATTACAGTTACTTATGAAAATGTTAATGATTCCAAAGGGGGTTACATCCTTTGAATCCCAAAGGGGGTTTATGTATATGCATTTTTTTTTTTTTTTGGATTAACTGTTTTTTCCAAACCATTGTTAGCATGTGTTTCCTGTCATAGCTATGCAAAGATCATAAACTACTGTATCTTGTTATGATTTTAAATCTGTATTTAACCTCAGAACGATCTCAAAGTAAAAAGAGGTGCTAAAGTCTAATTTTGTGGTGTCTGTGCTTTATAATAACATTTTTATACACTTAATTCAAGTGATGCAAGATTTTGAAAGTCTGACAGTAATCAGAGTACTACTGAAAGATTAACCCTGCCTGCTTTAAATGTTTCAAAATGATTAACAGTTGAAAACATTTGTTAGAAATTCAGAAAAGTAGATGTTACTGTAGTTCTAAAGTAAATATGAATATGCATTCATTCATATCACTCACAAAAAACACAGATTCAGTATTCCTCAAAATGAATAAAAATAATGCAACTTAGAATATGACGCAAACCTGCAATAATTAAATGTTAAACAACACAAATATCCTTTATGTAACGCATTACTTTTAAAAGTAACTTTCCCCAACACTGCTTATTACATTGAAAATAGGGTAACTTGTAATCCGTAACCTATTACATTTCCAAAGTAATCTTCCCAACACTGGACTTCACATACCAAAAGATGCAGGTCAGTTAGTCAGTATAGTTGCCACATACACACTTTTTGCTAAATGTATTAAAACAAGCTCATTTTATGTCCAAAACACTTCAAAATTCATCTGATAACTTTCTGTCAGTGGGACCAATAGGACAGGGAGAGAAGGAATGAAGGAAGGAATATTTATTATTATTATTATTATTATTATTATTATTATTATTATAGATAAAAATAAAATAAAAAGGTGTGGAAAAAATAGCCACAATGCAACTATTCGTCAACTCTGGGACTGGGACTCTGGGAAAAAAATAAATAAAATTCTAGCCAAATGGTATTTGTTCAGAGAAAACTAGTATATTGTAACACCACCTAAAGTCAAGCAGGTGTGTATTTATGCTTAGCCGAGTAGCATGTGGGATTTACGAGCATCGATTTTGGCATTTTTACCATTTATGGTTTCTGATTCCAAGACACTTCTAGGCCAAAAAACAATAATAAAGAAGTCTGAAAAGAAAACATACAGATTGTTTGTGGTAAAAATGCAAAATTATACTAATCTTGGCTCTTGTCACAGATGTCCATGTCGACATTGATGCCGTTACGTTTTAGGTCATTCCGTGACGTTTGATGTGGTGTACATGAGGAATGAGACCCAGATAACATCAGAGGATTGCAACACTTGCCCGCCAAGTTCATAGTGCTTGTTTACAAAATGCAAGGAAGATGACACAGTTTTTGTAATGACATCATCCTTCGAGCTGGTAGCCCCGAGCAGGGTGTACAACTGGAGCAGTCTACGGGGTCCGCCGTGAATGATGTCTACCCCAAAGAGGACACTTTAGTGGAGTCTGCGTATTGATCTAAAACCAAGCTTAAAATTGAGATGGCGGGGAAAGAAGCTCCCAAAACACGCTAAGCTGGTTTCAAGTCATATGTGTTGACAGTTTTCGTGATCCTCAGCTCTTCGAATCTTCAATTTCGTGGCTTGCTACTTTGAAACCAATTAGTCTCAACTGGTATTTAATTAGTAATTGGTCTGCAACCTATTTTGCTCAACTGAAAACCAGCGGCTCATATACTCCTAGAGGCCTGTGCTAAAAATGCGCCATTTCCTTAGGCAGTTGAATTTACGGTAATTACCTCAGAATAATGTAATTGGCCACGTATTTAGCAGACGTGAATATGCGACGAACAAAGAGCGAGAGCGGTTTTACGTGGAGTGACTCTGACGGGTCGCCTTCCAGCTGTATTGCACAACCTATAAATCTCCCTGCGACATTTCTTCCTCCTCTAGAACCAGTTAATTAGAATCTTTTCAATAAATTAACAAACTTGAGGCACCTGGCATGAAGAAATCCAGAGAAATGGAGCTCAAAGCGCTCGGTGTTCCTGGGAAATCGGATTCGTTCGCAACAATTAGTCACCGATTGACATGCCGACCACCAGTCAGACCCACGGCGATGTGGCGCACGCTGCGTTTGTTAAACATTTTGACCCAGATCCAAAAAAAAAAAAAAGAGCATGGCTCTGTGCATTTGGGTACAAAATAAAACTTTCTGCTTTTACAGTGTATTTCATAATGCATAATTAATCATGCAGCGCTCAATTATTTACCACAATGCAGAGGTTCTGCGTTTTTTCCCCCAGCGTCGAGGGATCAGCTGTGTGTACATTCGTCTTGTCTATGGATCCCTGTTTGGCTTCTACCGATACGGTTTTAATCACTCGTTCATCTGAGAGAGAAAAGCCTGCAAGTCAAACAGATAAAATAGTGGTTTCCATATGGAAGTGAGACAGCGTGCAGAAGCCTGTGGAATCTGTTGCTTTCTGGATATCCAAATGTTTAGAGTGCATGAAATTTGTAATTTAAAATAAAAAACAAAGGTTGCTTTGTTGATACTGATGACTAAATTGATTGAAATGTTATGGTAATGAAAGGATAAAATCTATTTTAGATGTAGTTAATATAATATATAAATTAATAATAATAATAATAATAACTAGTACTAACTACAGTTATCATTATAATGATGAATGTATAAATAAGTATATACACAACACTGTTATTTTAGTATCACTGAGATACTATTATAGTTTTTATTAATATTTTGTAGAACAGAACTAAAACTAAAATAATAATAATAATAATAATAAATAAAATAATTTAATTACAGTATTTTATGCTTAAAACATGCTTTATGTTTTACCAGGTGTGCCTCTAAATTATATAAGCCAAAGATAATGCAAATTAAAGGAAAAACCTAAGGTGCGACTGAAAAAATATATATCTAATAACTATTTGGTGGGAAAATTTAAAAAGAAATGGAAATCCATGTGACCTCTAAAGGATTAATAGGCCAGACAAATTTTGAGTTCAGCTCACACTTCATGAGATATAAAAGACAAGGGTCCCACTTTATATTAGGTGGCCTTAACTATGTACTTACATTTAAATTAATCATTTGGTACAATGCACTTATTGGGTACATGTTTTTACACTGTACTTATATTGTTTAAAATACCTATGTAATTACTTTATTAATTATTATATTTATTAATCTTAGTTATTAATTTATAATTACACTGTTGACCCATCCCTTACACTTTAACCCACCCTTAAACCTACCCATACCACCAAACCTGTAACCTCACCCGTATCCCACCTCAATAGCAGCAAAAGTGTTTTGCCATAAAATATGAACACAATAAGTACATTGTACGTATTTTTTTGATGTAAGTACATAGTAGTTAAGGCCACCTAATATAAAGTGTGACCAACACAAAAACTGTACAAATTAACACTGGCCAGTGTGTGTGGAAAGAGTGTTTTTCTTCTCGTTCACTCTCAAACTCTTACATAAATACACACACACCTCTTCTCAAAGTCAAGGGCATCATCTGAGAGATGTGAATAAAGGTGACTTACTATAAGAAGCCAACATCAAGTTGATTTACTTTTATCTCATTTGACCTTTCAGCGTTCGGCTTTGTATTAGAACCACTCTGCGTTCGCTGAACCCAAGGGATCTTAAAGAGTTCATGCTGTCAAAAATGCTGTCATCATTTACTCACCCTCAGGTCGATCCAAACCCGTATGGCTTTCTTCTGCGGGACACAAAAGGAGCATTTTGAGGAATGTGCTGGTAGCTTTTTTCCAAGCAGTTACAATGTATGGAGAGTGGAAATTTCAAGCTTCATAAAACACTTATCGGTGAAGTATTCTAAGAAACGTCACAATCTAATGAAACATTATTAAGGTCTCAACACGGGTCTTGGATACTGAAGTGCCAATGTTCATTTACTCGCCATTTAGCAGATGCTTTTCATCCGAAGCAACTCGCGGTACACTAATTGCTAGAAGAATCAGTCCCGCAGGAGCAACCTTGGGTTAAGTGCCTCACTCAAGAGCCCAATGGTGACGGAGCACAACAATGATCTCACTGACTCTTGGGTTTCAGGGTCCCCTGCTATGTGGAACTGAACCTACAACCTTTACATCAGCAGCCAAGATCCTTAACCATCACTAATTTGTCCACTCTGTTCATGCAATTGCAAACAAACCAACTAGTGGAGATTACTTTAAGACTTAAAACATTAAAATAAAATAGGTGGCATACAGATATATGCTGTAAAAGAATAAACAAATAGATTAAAAAAATACAAATAAATAATACTAAACAGTTATAACAATCATATAAATCATAATAAAGTATAATATAAATCTTAAGTCAAACAAGTCATAGTCAGTCATATGAATGAATCACAAACTGCAAATAATATATAAATAGTCATAAAAAATAAATAGTCAAATGAATGAGTTAAAGTATTACATAAGTCATAAATTAAAATCAGCTATAAATCATAAATGTCAAACTAATAAGTTATAATCAATCATAGTACAATTTTAAATAAGTCATAAAAAGTTGTCATAACGTCAGTCATAGTAAATCAAATTGCAATATACAAACTATCATAATATAATAGTCATAAATGAAGTTGTTAATAAATCAAAGTGTTTAATGTCAAACTCATAAGTCATAAAGTCAAGTCAAAGTCAAAGTCATAAAAGTCACAAATAAAAAAACAAAACATTATCAAGTATTAAATAAGCCATGAGTCATAAGTCATAGTCAAAAAAAATCAAACAAGTCAGTAATAATAATAAATAAAAAATATAAATTAAGTCGAATGAATTATACTAAATCATAGAATTAGTCGAAAATGAGGCACAACAGACAGTCAAAAATAAAGATAAATAGTCAAAGTTATAATAAAAATAATAAATTCATAAGAGTAATAAGTCATACATTTCCAAAGTAATAAAGTCAGTCATAAATAAATGTCAAAGTCATAATAGGAGGAACCATAATCCTTTATCTTGCCTACACTGTATTTAAATATACAAATATAACACAGAAATTATAATATACTATATATAAGATAAAATATAATTTGTATACTAAATTATATTCAATTTAAAATGTGACAAAAAAAATAATATAAAGTTCTGAAATTGATCAATCATTTCAAGTAATTTCACTTTATAGTAACAGTTTGACGAAGCAAATTGACATCTTCAGTACTACACACACACTTAAAAAGAGCCAGCCATGACTGTTTTGATCCTATAACAACCATGGCATACCTGACAAAGTGTCACATTTATTATTAAAGATGTGCAGTTGTGCCCTTTAAGACATCTTGTAATGACTGGCCACATGCAATTAAACCTGAATATGAAAGAAAGCTCCCGCTCGTGTGTGTGTATGTGTGCTTCTAATTGTCAAGGACTATTTCACAGCTACATGCTTCAGCACACAAAGGCCACTTTAAGGTCACAGGGATGGCAGCGATCTGACAGGAAAGTTCTGCGAGGCGCCAGAGATTGGTAAACCCCTCCAGCCCAGAGAGATTTCAAAACAACGGTTTTATTATTATTTTTTTTTTCCTGCGGTATCATTCTTAGAGATACAGCACAGTGCACACACTATCTCACAGTCGCTGAAGGACAATATGGGATGAGACAAGGGTCAAAGAGACCAGAATGAAGATGAAGGGCAGAGATTGGTGTGATAGGTGTCATGCTGAAGTGTGAGGTAGGTGTGTAAGTGTGCGTGTCGTGTGTGTGTGCGCGACAGGCTGAGAAATGTCCTAGTGGATGGTGCTGAGTGATAGAGACTGAGATCTTCTGTCTGACACCTTCACAAACACAACCCGGCTGGCTACTTGCGACACTGTCAGTCGAGCCAAGAGATACGCACAACTTTTATCCGTCCATCTGGGATGTGAAAAACACTTCCAGAAAATAAATCGCTCTTGTGAACTTTTGCACAAAAATATTTAGCATAACATATGTTATGCTGTTTCAGAATGCAACATTTTTTCCTTTTATGGTTTTAAATAATATGTCGGTTTGCAGTGCTAATTAAAGGGAAGCTACATTAAAAAGTCAGTGGAGGTTAGCCAATCATAAGATAGAGGTTGTTTACATAATGGAGTTTTAAAGGAATAGTTCACCTAAAAATTTGTTGAAAATGTACTCAACCTCAGGCCATTCAAGATGTAGATGAGTTTATTTCTTCATGGGAACAGATTTGGAGAAATTTAGCATTACATCACTTGCTCACCAATGGATCCTCTGCAGTGAATGGGTGCCGTCAGAATGAGAGTCCAAACAGCTTCCATCCGTAATATTGCTTTCTTCAGTGAAAAAGTATTCATCAGAATAAGGAGAGACATATGCACAGATCAAGCACTTGATGTGAGAAGACAACAGGGGATGGACTTTTTCACTGGAGGAAGTGTTTTTATGGATTATGTACTCATGTTTCGGTCAGAAATGACAGTTTAATGTTAATACACTATAATGATGGATTTGTTTCTTACAAACATCCAGCTTTTCACTTCATATGAAATTAATTGATGGACTGGAGTGGTGTGGATTACTTGTGAATTATTGTGATGTTTTTTATCAGCTGTTTGGACTCTTATTCTGATGGCACCCATTCACAGCAGAGCATCCATTAATAAGCAAGTGATGTAATGCTAAATTTAACACTAAAGTGGTTGCAATTTGCTTGTTTGAATTCGTTTTTCCAGCAGGAATTCTGCTGTTAAACACGATTTAAAAAAATAAGCTGAAATAATATGGCCGAGCAGGCTATGGGAAAAACAGCATTTGGTTTAACGGTGCAGAGATTAAAAAGAAACTCTGATGCCGCCTTGAGATTTGTTACCACCACAAAAACACTTTTGGAAAAAGAATTGTCTGCTTGCTTAAAGTAGCATATATATGTAAGTTTCTGACCTTATAGGTGGAAAGAAACAAACAAAAAAGTAGTGAATTTTAAAGTTGTGAAATTAATTAAATACACCTTATGAATTGGGTAAATGCAAGTAAAAATAAAAATAAAAATTAAGCAGATCTGACTACCTACATTTGGTAGTATGACAAATAAAATGGAATAGACCCAACAAGTTAAAGTTCTCAAATATTTGAGTAAACCAATTTATTTGGATTTTTTTTTTATTTAAAGTGAAGGACTGTGCATTTATGATAAATAGTTAAGATGATAGACGTACAGTCCCAAAAAATATTGTCCTTTAATTTTGAATTAGACATGACTTAGGGCTTTAAAACCGAACAATCCCTTTGAATGGACTTTCGCAAATTAAAAACAAACAAAAAAACACCACACTAAGGTCTACTGAGACCAAACTATAGAAAATAATCTGCGTACTGATGATTCTTTGTTTTGCCAAAACTTATTTAACATCAAGAATTTTTTGTTTTGGCTGGAAATCAAGAGCTGCTTGAAGTAAATTTAAAATAAATGGGCTTCTCTTGATTCCCAGTCAAAACAACACTCCAGATCAGAGACATTTAGATGTCTGGAACACCTTCCCGCCCACCGACACACACACGGGCAGAAACTCATCTTCACATTAGCAATGTGAGTCATCATCAAGCTCTCTCTTACCACGCCAGGGTTTGATTGGGCGAGATTGAAGAAATTGCAGGGGCAGATTGCCCAGTAATGGCTTTGTGAAATGTGAGTTGAGATTCATCCTCATCTTCATCATTCTCTGTCTGGTCTCTACATCCTCTCTACTCTCACTGACACTCTAAATACTTTTGATGAATCCATCTTTGTCTGGGACTGATGGGTCCTTTTGACCAGGTGGTTTTTGCTTGCTGGTCCTACCAGTAATTGTAGCCCCCGCCCAATAAATACCTCTGATTTTGAATGCGTTACGGTACAAGACGTGTGAACAAACATGCAATATATCACACAGTGGTCCGTGGAGATCTCTAGTGTAATGAAGGGTAGAGAGGCTATGCAGCGTGGTAATAGCTTGCAGCAATGAGAGGCTGAAATGATGGTTTGTGTGTGTGTGTGTGTGTGTGTGTGTGTGTGTCTGTGTTTGTGATATGTTAGCTACTCTCACGGCAGTCAGACGCTCGATATGTTGAGTGGTGAGCTGTATTTGAGACGCCACGGGTGCGTGTCTGTGGCAGATAGTCTTCCAGCGTTTGACGCCAACCCTGCGCTGTGGGTGGTAGAAGAGGAAGTGTGTCTGTCCGTTTCTATATCCACTTTGTTTTATGCATTTCATTCTAAAGGAAAAAAAAGTGGTTGCATTAAAATACAGTGATGGTAATAGCATGGTACTGTACGTAATCGTATGGTATATACAACTGCATTTGCATGATCATTTAAGGTATTTCAAAAAACACCAGAGTCCATGTCCCAAAATATGGTAATATATATTTTTTTTACCTATTGACTCAATTTCTCCACCCATTTTTTTCCAGTTTTAAGAATAAATCCAATATAATTTTATTAGACAGGCCTAATTCTAGAAGATTTAATACATAAAAATAATAATAAAATGGGGTAAGAAAATAAAAAGTCTAAAAACATCTTTATATATCTGGAAAAACATGGTAATATTTCACAGCAGGATATGCAATTTCCCTTATTCATAATTTTAAACTTATTGAAAAAAACATTGATGTTGATATAAAATGAAGTGCAGCATATCACCTACATTGTAAAAATGATTTATCAACAGTTTGGAAAAGCTTACATTTTAATATGGTCT